CGCATATCCTATAACTGCGCGAGGCTCCAACTCGCACGCAATACACAGAAGGATAAAAGCTGTTCCATCAGTGTATTGTCTTCGGGGGACAGAGAGATTCTAAACGCTCCTGCCGCTCAGTCAGCTCCTGCTCTTTACACAAAAGTAAGGGATACTGACGGTGGCCGGAGACGGCGGTCCTTTCACAGCTATATTTGAGGGGGAGGACAGAGTCTGGAATCCGGGCCTTTAAACTTACTTTTGCAGCCTGGTGCCATAGCGCCCTCACTCCAGATCCGAAACCAGCGCTACAGACGCCCGCACCTCTCGGGCGCGCCGCGCGACGAGATCCCGCCAGCCCAAGATGGCCGCGAATTTAAATTTGGCGCTGGGATCAGACGTTGACGCCAACACGGGGGCCGCCATGTTGCCCGGCCTACGCAGGCCTCCCAGTGACGTCACTAGGGAGCGCCTCCATCTCTGTGCTGTCAGTGTCGGCTAGGGAACTTGGCTTTCCCCAGAGCTACCATGAGCAAGCGGAACCAGGTGTCGTACGTGCGGCCCGCGGAGCCGGCGTTTCTGGCCCGCTTCAAGGAGCGTGTCGGCTACAGAGAAGGGCCCACCGTAGAGACCAAGGTGAGCCAGGGTCAGTCGAGTTGCTTCCGAAACGTGATCTGTCCGCCACTTCCAACTTCTGCGTTGACCTGGAGGCCGGGTACCGATGGTCCCTCCTCTCACTGGCCCCTAGTTCGAATGGGGCACGGACTCTAGTCTGGCTCTTTTCAGGCGACTTACAGCCTCTTGTGCCCAGGAAGCACTTTCTGTGTCGTTTTTAAAAGCGCTGCTGGGTTTTGGAAAATGACCTGCTATAGGTAAAGCGCCTCGTTCCTGGTAAATGATCGCTTTACCGTCTCTTCGTTCCACTTGGCTTTTCTCAAAACCTATGAGTTAGCAGGGTAAATGGTGGCTATCTCCTGCTTTCCAGATAAGGAAACAGACCACTGGATCAAAGACCCAATGTCCTAGGAACGGAGTCTGGGACGTCTTTGGAGGAATGTCTAGATCTATTTCTATGCTTTCTTGTCACAAAAAAGCAAGCAAGGCTCGGCGCCTGTGGCTCAAGCGGCTAAGGCGCCAGCCACATACACCTAAGGTGGCGGGTTCGAATCCAACCTGGTCCCGACGGCTGCAACCAAAAAAAATAGCCAGGGGTTGTGGCGGG